TACCTACCATTCATAGCACAGCACAGTATACCATACCATACCATACCATGCCATACCATACCAGACCAGACCATGCCATATCATACCATACCATGCCATACCATGCCATGCCATGCCATACCAGACCAGACCATGCCATACATACCATACCATGCCATACCATGCCATACCATACCAGACCAGACCATGCCATACCATACCATGCCATACCATGCCATGTAAATCTGAGCTGTTTTTCTCATCTGCTAATTCACTGACTTCATTGCATATATTTCCAGTTATTTAACTTATTTGTTTTATATGTGTGTGTGTGTGTGTGTGACAGAGAAAATATATACAGTACTTTGAGCTGATTAATTCACTTATGTTATGTTGTTTCTTGCAACTTGAATTACTGTACAAATCAAAACATTCCTAAATGTGCATCAAAAAGAGAATAACTTTGTAATATCATTAGATCCACAAGATGACTTCCTATGGGAAAGAAAACCAAAATTTAGGGTTCACATTTAAGAGAGAGACTTCTTGCTGTTTTCCTCTTATGGCCCTTTTAAAACACACACACACACATACACACACACACACCCCTAAAGAAAAGTAATGCTGGCAAAGGAAAATGATCCAAAAGAAAAAGTGAAGATTTGGAAGTACAATAAAACAAGAATGTACAAATATTGTATTTGGCTGGGATTTTGAATATAAAGAAAGCAATAGCTGAAGAGGTATATGTGACCAAGGGAGAAAACACACACACACACAAAGGTGTGTCAGGACAGAGCATCAGGTATGCTGATGAGGGAAAAGGGAATTGGGGATGCAGAGGAGCAGGTGATATATAGATGTACCTGAAAACTCAAAGCAAGAGAGAATTCAGGGATGAAATGGAAGGTTCAACTTTTGATGAAATGGAGTCTTTTCTTACTTCTATGAGAGAAAAGAAGGTGGGCAGAAGAGATGGTAGGGGACACTGGTCAGGGAGTCTTCACTCTGCTTTCTTTAAAAGACCTGTGCCTAGTTAATGTTTAGATGGCACGGAATCATAGTTTTGTGAAAAATTTATTTTACATTCTCATATATTAATATTGAAATAGTCATCTAGATACATATTCATATACATAGTATATAAATTTTTATTAGTAGTAAGGAGGAAGCTGTAATTACAATGTCTGTTAATTTAAATTTTTAATGGGTTTCTCTGTTAGCAAGAGAAAAGTCAATGGAATTATGTATAGTATAGACTGAAAGGAATAGATAACTTCGACATGAAAAATCTGAAACAATAAAATTAAATTAAAGTCTCTCAAAGGACTCTGTAAAATGTTCAGTCTATATAGAGATGTGGAATATATGTGCTTGTTTTATCCCCATTATTTGATTGCAAGCTTCCTAATAGTAACAAATTTCCTTTCAATCTATTTTCATATCACTTTGTTTTATCTACGGTTAAGTATTACATACAGCTTTTTAAACTCTTATATTAAAGAAATTGGTTTTTGATATATAAGTACACCAAAGGCTTACATGTTTTTTGTTTTATTTTTCTGAATCATGCAGGCATAGAATGAAATGTACAACAGCATCAGCTTTGCTGCTCACAAGATAAGTGAGTAGGTTACTTAACTTAAAATATGTTTGATAATAATTACCCCATGGCATTTTTATGAGGATTAAATTAGATGATTTGTATAAAGCAGGTAGTACAATGTGTGTCAGCACGGCACTTTCCATAAACATGAGCATCCATGATATTACTCATCAACAATGAATTACCTTGGCTAAAGGAAGAAATCATGCACTCTCCTAGAAAATTTTGGCAGAGACGACAATGTTGTTTGTTCTCCGGTTCTCATACAATGCTGGAGTTTAACTGATGTTTCTCAAAGTGGCTGTTTTCATATGCTGTCTATTTTGAAATTAACCATAGTCTTTCAAGGAAAGATACAATTGAGAAAACGCATATAAGATTTTGTTTCATAACTTGACCCAACAAAATGTTGAGATCTGTCTAAAAATGGATCAGGGGATTATCTGTGAAATTTATATCATTTTCCAAAAGTGGATCTGAGCTGCAAGGCTCCAAGATGCCTGCGAAGTACAATTTCTCTTTTCAGAAAAAGGATGTATCTTAGCTCCAAAATGTTTTCCACGATTCTTGTATTCAGTACATGGCTGAAATGAGGATAAATTCGGACTCTAGTCTCTCTGCACATAAATAAATGATGGACAATATCTCCAAGACAGGGGGAGATGTCGATGGATGCACAAGTCGAATACATAAACATACATGAAAGACCAGTTTTGAGCACACATCCTATTGGTCTTCCTGGGCCCATTGTCTGATTCCAAAAATACTTTTTGTGAAGAAATTTTTTTGAAGTTTTAATGGTGTTTGTACGTTTACTTCTTATTATTGTTGTCTGAATAGTAATGTGATATACAATTTATTCCCTGCAGATTCAAAGCAATTGACATACCTTGTCCAGATAAATGGTGTTTAATAACTTATACTTCTTAAAGTGTTTAATACTCTAATAACTTACACTTGATTCGAAAAATATTATTGTCAGAAGTACATCACAAAAAATCAAAATATATTTACAATTTGTGCATTTTAAAAAATCTAGACTAATGAATAAAAATTATTTTAAGAAAAAATTATCAGCTCTAAATTTTCACAACATCACAGAACTATGAGAACATGCTTAAGTCTAGTAGAATATACATTATCACTTTTTATACACACAAATCACCATCAGTATGCAAATAACTCTGTGTGTATATAAAATATACCTATACATGTCTATCAATATCCATATCTACATCCCTCTTTACCTCATCTGAGTCTGACATAGAAAATTATATGATGAATAGAAAACTGAAGTAAAAATGAGGATACTCCCATTATAATAGCCTCTATTAGTGCCAATACTCCTTTTTAATGTATAGCATTGTTATAGATCATAAGATTTCTTCCATTTAGTATAATTGCAATTAGGCATAGTACCACTGGTTGTTTAACACAGGAAAAGGCACATAGAGATGTTTACTAGGTAGTATTGAACAATGATTAATTTGTTCCCAGTTTATATTTATTATTAGCCCAACTTCAGTTACTTTGCACACTTACTCATTTCCACTTTCAATTAAAGCAGCACCTTTGATTTATTTCTGGCTTATTAAATTAATAGACTTGTTTTCATATCTAATGGTAGATATCAAAAAGGGATTGCCGCAGGCTCTTTTGTAAATTTCAATTGACCATGTGATTGATTTAAACAAAGCACAACTGCCTCATTACCGTATTATAGTTCACTTTTTTTATTTTTGCATATTGAGTTAAATTCTAATATTTTAAATAATGTAAAAGATTTGTTTCATAAAATCACAAACCTAGACAAGTAGATGTAAACAACACTAACATAAAAGTCTCTGTGTGCGTCTGTGAATGTTTTGATAAAGTAAGATTCGTTTTGACACTTGGATACGAAAAGGAAAGACACAGGTATCTGCTCTTTATGCTTCTGCAGGTAGAAATTTAATTACCGTCAGTGTTTGAGCCTGGGTCAAGTGCTTAGTTTATTTGGGATTGCCATCCTGGAGAGCATGTGTGAGGAATGAAGGAATGAAAAGGAAAAAGAAAAACCAACACAAGTAGTATTATCAATTTGGCCACCGTTTTGAGGGACAGGGGCTCAAGCCTGTGGGCTCTGCTGAGGATCCTTAGAGAGAAGCAAAGTCTGCAGGATCTGAGCGGACGTGCTGTGGGGTTGCACCTGTATTAAGCTATTTGAACTCTGGGTAGAAATGGTTATGATAACTCACAATGGCTGGAGTAAAACATGTGCGTATGAAGTGGTGTATTGGAGGCAGTTGGATAAAAGAAAGAAAACAAAACAAAAAAGTCTGCAGGCTGCTGCATTTGCATAATTAGAGTGAAAGTATACAACGAATAAGATTGAATAAAAACCATATAGTTTTCACATGAAATTTAAAAGTTCTCTTGGGATTTTAGAGTAAGAGCTTATAAATTTGACAACCGTTTATAAGAAAAAAAATTAAAGATTAAAAAACTATTATATTGGGAATAAATATTTAACAAACACACACGCATAACTTTTGAAAAATTGCCACTGCTATTTTTAATCGGATTTATTAACAGAAGGATTAAACTTCCTCTACATTGCATGCTCAAAGGATCCTATGGAGTTATGTGTGTTCCAAAAAGCAGAATGCTGTCCTTCATTGTGTTTTTCCATACATAAACAGGCTGTGTCTAATTACTTTAGTGTTCTGATTAAAAGTTAATAAAGCACTTGGAAAATTCTTTTTTTAAGCTAATTGTATATACTTGGTGTTCTCACTAGGAGAATTTATAGTAGTCATACAGAGTCCTTTAACTTATTTTTTTTCTCTCTTGAAAACCAATTATATTTGATTCTCATAATTTCGATCATTACAATTTCCTCTCCAAATTACCACTATATTTTTAGTGAATAAAGTTTATAATCAATACTCAAATATTTTACTTTAAAATGTATCCTGCCTTTAAAGCAATGGAAAAAATAGATAAGTACAGTGAAAAGGATCCTAGAGTAGGAGTCAAGAAAATTGTATTCTAAACCAAACCCTGTCATCAGCAGTGAGGTGCATATACTCTGTAAGGCAGCCTTAATTCTCTGGGCTTCAAACTGACTGGTCAGTAACTAAGTAAAATTTTAGCTCTCCGATTAGGCTTTGGAGTGATGCTGATTGCCTTCATTTTTCAGCTTCAGTAATTAGTGGATTTGAAATTTGGTGTATATCATTTAATTCTTCTGAGCCTAAGTTCCACTGCCTGTTAATTAAAAGTTTAAAAAATAACGATTTAAAATTTTGAAAGAATTAATTGAAATAGCATATGTAAAACATTTAGCACAGAGTGTGGTTCCTTACAAACAGTCCCAGAGCTTACTCATGAGTCACTGTTTTCCATTCTTATCACCCCTGAGAGCCTCTTTTTGTGTCTTGTATGATGATCTAGGAATGTCCCTCTTCCATGAAAAGCTGAACCTTCCATTTTTTTTCTTGGAATTCTCTCTTGCTTTGTCCCTTCAAGAAGGTCTACACATCCAACATGTTCATTAGCATTTTCTCTTCTGCATCTGTAGTGGCTCCCTGTTCTCCCTCCACCCACTATTCTTCTCCAGCTGTTTTTCCCTTTTATTCCAACAGCAAATTCTGAAGAGCTGCCTACCTATTCTACCTCAGCATTCTCTCTCATTCACCCTTGATCCTGTATGTCAACTTCCTACTTCATGGAAACCCTTCTCAGGGTCATGGACACTTCCCACAATACAATCTAGCAGATGTTCTCATGTCATTCGACTCAACTCTCAGCAGCATTGACCTCTGATTTTGTCTTAGGACTCTCCCCTATCTTAGCTCCTTGCCACCTCTTCCTCCTGAGTTTCCTCTTATTACTGGTTACTAATTTTAATTTCTTTTGATGGTTTCATTGTTCTACCCAGTCTCGACTCTTAGGGTCACTCAGGGCTCAGTCCTAAGTGTTCTAATAACTATTTCTCTGAAAAATATAATCTATTCCCATGACTGTAAATGCCATTTTATGGTGCTTATGCACATCTTTTCACAGATAAATTATTGATGCAGGTAGATTGGTTAATAGAGATGGTAGATAGATGATAGAGACAGATCCATAGAACCATAGCTACTGCATTGGTAAGTGACTGCCCAGGCTTGAATCCTGGTTCTGCAACATCCTAGCTCCACAACTTTATGGAAATCATGTAATTTCTCTGAGCTTTAGTCCTGTTTCATAAGGTTATTGGAAAAAATCAGTGCATGTTGAATCCTTAGAAAAATCTCTGGCTTATTATAAATGCTATGTGAATATTTAACATCTTTGCTATTTTCTGATATATAATAAGTGCTATCTGAATATTTAATATCATTGCTATTTTTGCTATAATTCAGATTATGTCACTCCCCTACCTAAAACCCTTCCTCCACTTTACTTAGAATAGAATTCAGCTTCTTTATTTTAGCTTACAAGGCCTTACGTGACCTGACACCAACTTTCCCCTCCGTCTGAACTTATACTACCCTCGCTGTTCCAGTCACATGGGTCTTTTTGAAGTTCCTCAGATACAAAAACATCTTTCTTGCCTCAGGGGATTTTGTATATATTCACTCCACCCCACTCTGCTGTTGACAGGCTGCTTCCTCACATTCTTCGGCACTAAGCGTGTCTTCTTATAAAGCAGGTGCTCACTGGTGGCTTCATCTGTGGCCACTCCCCACCTCACTGACCCCAGTTGCTGTCTACCTTGGACCTCATACCTTACCTGTTTTCCTCATTGCACTTTTCACAATGCAATAATTTACGTTAGTAGCTTTGTTTCTACTCTTCTCTGTTAGAATATAAAGCTCAAGAAGGCAGGATTCCAGACTTAGTGTCTCACACCTAACAGGCACTCAAAACTATTTGTACATTAATGAGAAAATAAAATATAGCAAAGTAGTTTTTACTTCAAAATAAAGTAAAATTTCCTAAGAGTAAAATCCATAGAAAAAACATTGTATGAAATCAGTGAGAGTATTTAAGCAATACACACAAATCCATGCATAAAGAGGACATGAGAGTAAAAGTCTTCAGCATTTCTAGATATCTATATATTTTATAATGAATGAAGAGAGGAACGAATACTACCTGTGATTTTGTGGAGCAACACAAATAGTCTATGCTTCTTAGTAAAGATATAAACCTCCAGCTAATGATAAAATACAAATCTTATGTAATCACTTGCTTACCTAACTTTAAATGTGCAATACTGTCCAATATTCTGTTTCATGTCTTCATATTTATTTACTGTATTTTTGAGCTTCCATAACCAACATTTATGTCTTCAATAGGCTTATCGTGCCTATTGTATGACACACTTCAGAAGCTTTACCTTGTCAATCAGACGAAATCTAATTTCCCACTTGAAAATGGATCCTGACCTATAAAGAACCATTGGGAGTAATCTACTCTCTACCAGAGAGAGTAACATAACCATTTGAGGCAGAATCAGTCTTCTGAAAGCTGTGGGGTACCATCTAGTAATTTACCTCCTCTGTGGCATTAATTGCTACCCTAGAGCACTGGAAGAGTTAATTTACCTCATACAGTGAACACTTGAATCCTGAAGAAGTATACTTAGTTTAGTTTAAAACAGGATTAAGACAGAAAACAAAAGTAGCTTAAATCATGTACTATGACATGTATTCAAGTGAAGGAAATATAGCCCCTCAGTGTACCTGGGGGATTGGTTACAGAACCCCTAGGTCTGCCCAAATCTGCACATACTCAAGTCCAGCAGTCAGCCTTACATAACACATATTAACAGAAAGTATGCCCTATGAATATGCAAATTTTGCATCCTGAGAAGACTGTATATCCAAATGGCGTTTGGTTGAAAAATCAGCTGTGTATATGTAGGCCTGCAGAGTTCAGACCTGTGGAGTTCATGGGTCAGTCGTACTGTAATTAAGATGTCATTTTTCTTCCACAGTTATTTCAGGAATTTGTCATTCTTAAGTTCAATATCCTTTTCTCCTGCTTAAAAACCCAAAATTCTTGCTACAAAATATTGACATGTTTGCAATTTAACATAGGGTACTGAGCTGTTCTTAAACATCACAATGCTATATGTTATTTCTGATAAATACTAATAAAAGAATGCACGTGACAAGTATATAGTGCCTTGAGTTACCTCAGTATCATTTATGGCCATGAACTGATGACTCACTATTTCATGTCAGTTACTTGGGAAATAAGTGCAGTTTTAAGAGGATACATTTGTTATACATCAATTTTCCTGAAAGTGAAAAACACCTTGAGAATATCCATTAATGTCATAATATACCATTATTCCAGTCAAAACATCAGTGGTTTTCAAAATTTAAGCCACAGAATAAAGTGGAGCTACTCGAAATGAACTGGAATTTGGGGATCTAAGACCTCCTTATTTGATCTTTGGCCAATCACCCAAGGGTAGCCTGAGAGGTACCTTTCAGAGCTAAAGTTCTTTGGGGCCAATACAGCTTGCAAACTTTAAACATGATAATATCAAAATAAATTGCTTCCTAAATTTAACAAAATGTAACTCCCTCTATTCTAAACCTTCATAGCATTTGGATTTCACACGTGATATTCTATAATATTAATGTGTGTGTTTTCCACATTTCTTTCTTTAACAAGGGTTTATATCTTGTTCCTATTTATGTTTCCTTGTGTCACTTTTACACAGTGGTAGTAGATGCTCCATAATTATCAATTAGTTAATTAATTAACTAATTAATTAATTAGAATCTTCAGTCTGCCTTTGTGGTCAGATGCAGAACCGATATTGTGAAAGAATTATAATCCCCTTCATTGAAAATCAAATGTATCTAGCTGACACCTGAATGCAAAGGAGTTCACGGGAAAGGAGGCAAGGGAAGGATACTTCTGCCAAAGGAGACCGACCCTGAAAAGGCTTAACACTGGAAAGAAAATAGAAAATTCAGGCATTTAAAAGTAGGTCAGAATAGCTGGATCTTAGATTGTATCAGATAGAGGAACAGTGGACATAAAGCTTATACAGGCTAACAAATTCTGGTATTGAGGTGTATTTTATGTTAAGAAGTTTGTACTTTATACTAAGGTAATTTGAAACTCTTAAGCAAATAGAAATATTATCAGATTTATAAATCAAAGAGATCCCTCAGACCACAATACTTTACTCTGGATTAAAAGGGAAGAATATGAAAGTCACTGAATTTATTTGTGGTATCATCACAACTTCTATTGCTGTTGGGAAACTTCATACGTTCATATGTGCATTTGCAGACACACACACACACATAAATTCGCATAGAATTTCTCTTACAATGTCACTTGGGATTCTTTTGCATTTAAGCTCAAAAAATATACTATTACCTTATAATAAGGTTAATGTTAACATATTATTTATCAAAACCAATAAGCTCAAAATATTTTAGCAAAATAAATAGTGAAATGTTCATAGAAACATTATGTTTCCCTACAACTCTACCATAAACAAATACAACCCTATATCCATATTAACATTTGAGTGAATGGCAGCTGCAATTAGACATGTCAATCTGCCAGTTAGCAAGAGTTTCACCTAAGGTAATGAGCGACAATATGCTGTTTCTTCATTAGAATGTTCTGTGGTTACCAAAAATTTCAAGGGTTAGAATTACAGCATGATTGAGTTAGATAGGACTTTAGAAATCATGGAACCCAGGCGCCTGATTTCCACGGGTGAGATGACTCCAATCTCAGGAATGAAAGTAACTTACTCATGTCTTCATATCTATTTATTGAGCACAGAAGAGAAAGCTTTGACAGCCTTGAGAGGTTTTACTCAACTTCCCAGACTCATAAAAAAAAAGTATATGTACTTCCAAGTGGCATGTCCCTGCCTTAGGTATAATTACAATGGCGTTGTGCCCAGTCTCACACATTCACTTCTGAAAATTCCTATTCTCCGTAAATGATAGAGTTAACCCTCTGATTTTAGAGCTTCTCATGTAGTACAATCAAAATAAATGGGACTACAGCTTCTTCCTGCCATAAAATAGTCTTTCTAATTGAGGTCAACCACAACAAAGGAAAAATAACAGCAGCAGCTGCTTTGCAGACAATATTTAGGACGAACAGCCTTTGTTAGCATCATCCTAGTAAGGAGATGTATTAAGCCCCTGATTTTCTCCACCTATGGCAACAGAATCCAAGACTTCCTTTCCTCCCAGCCTCATAACCCAACAAAGAAGGAGGATAAACTACTGGCTTTCTTTCTCATTTGTAGATTCTGTTTCTTTTTATTTATTTATTTATATTTTTTTAAAAGAAAAAAAAAGAATGAAGAAGAGAAAGAAAGAGGAAGAGGAAGAGGGAGAGAGAACGGGAGTGTTGCTTTATTGCCCAGGCTAGAATGTAGTCTAAAAATGGGTATTGAAAACCTCTTTTATGCCAATGATTGTGCTTAATAATGGAGACAGGAATAAATGAGGGAAGAAAATAAAAAACAGGCAGTCAACCAATATTTCATTTAAACCTGTAAGTAAGTGTGATGTGGTACTGATGAGAGTGTATATTTTGTATATTTAAAGTGGAGAGTTCTATAAATGTTTATTAAATTTACTTGTTCTAGATCTGAGTTCAAGTCCTGGATATCCTTGTTAATTTTCTGTCTCGTTGATCTGTCTAATATTGATGTTGAAGTCTCCCACTATTATTGTGTGGGAGTCTAAGTCTCTTTATAAGTCTTATGTACCTGGGTGTTCCTGTATTGGGTGCGTATATATTTAGGATCGTTAGCTGCATTGATCCTTTTACTGTTATGTAATGTCCTTTGCCTCTTTTGATCTTTGCTGCTTTAAAGTCTATTTTATCAGAGGTGAGAATTGCAACTCCTGCTTTTTATTTATTTATTTATCTTTGATCTCCATTTGATTAGATTCCGTTTCTTAACCTAAAATCACCGCAAGCTCAGTTTATTTTAAACTTAGTGATTAACTGAAGCATCATTAATTTAGACTGCTTTCGGTTGTTAGGGTTTTTTGAAATTATGAAAAGAAAAAGACCACTCTTTAAACTGGTTAACACTCTCTAGAATAATGAGTTCTAATCAACAATCTTTAGCCTGCTGTTATTGAAACTCTATACATATTAATACTGTCTTTCCTCAACCTTCATAATCCAGCTGGAGTAATTTCCTTTGGTCTCTCTTTCATTAGTCACCATGGATCTGTGTTGACTGCAAGAAAATTAGGTTTTTAAGAACTGAAGTGAGTTTTATTTAGAAGTTTTCTTTAGGATTATAGACCAAAGACTACAGTCCAGAAAAATCTTTTAGAGAGATTTTTTTCAGACTCTCTTGACATAATGTTTTACTTTATATCTATATCTGATGCCTACGGATCATAAATCAAGCTGCCCAGAAAATAGAATGGCATCTGAGTTTGCAGAACTCTTTAATGTGTGGTTTAATGCACTCCTGTGTGTGTGGGGGTGGGGTGGGGTGCATGTTTTTATGTGTATATTTCTTATTTGTTTCCCTGATGAAGACTTTTAGCTAGAGATTGTTGTTTTCTTGTTTAAATCTTCAGTTAAGTCAAGACATCAATTTTTGATTCTGCTGTAGACAGAATATAGTTTACATATAGGTAGTGGAGGGTAAGTACATATAAAATTACATTAAAGCTTGGATATAAGAGTATATCTGATTATAGATTATAGAAACATAATTTTTAATCCTATCAGACATTATTTTATGTGTAGGAAAAAGCAATGATTAAGATCACTTATTTTTATTTTTTATTTTTTTGGGGGACGGAGTTTCACTCTTGTTACCCAGGCTGGAGTGCAATGGCGCGATCTCGGCTCACCGCAACCTCCGCCTCCTGGGTTCAGGCAATTCTCTTGCCTCAGCCTCCTGAGTAGCTGGGATTACAGGCACGTGCCACCATGCCCAGCTGATTTTTTGTATTTTTAGTAGAGACGGGGTTTCACCATGTTGACCAGGATGGTCTCGATCTCTTGACCTCGTGATCCACCCGCCTCAGCCTCCCAAAGTGCTGGGATTACAGGCTTGAGCCACCGCGCCCGGCAAGATCACTTATTTTTTAAAAAATACTGACTCATGCAAGAGATATAGTGGTGTATGTTTTATTTTGTTTCGGCCTCTTTTTTTTTTTTTTTTTTTTTTTTTTTTTTTTTTTTTTTTTTTTTTTCTGGAGCGCGGCATGTTTCCACAGAGCCAAGTGCTTTGGGAAATTATGGTGGCAAGCAGAAATGGGCAAAGGTGGCCTCTTATGTTTGCTATTTTGTCCCTTCAATATCATTTCTTTCACAATCTGAGCCTGAGCATCTGACCTTTAGGCAAACAATGTTCTAAGGAACTCAGTTGTGCTAACATTGAACGAGATGTTATAATAACTCCAGTCATTGCATGTTGGATGCTGTTGTTTTTGCAGAAAGGAAGCTGTGCTTGATGAAATGAGGGAAATCCTGGCAAAATTGTTTTCTGTGTAGAAGCTGTAACCAAAAGCAGTGACCTGGAGAAAAGTCATTTACAGTGGGCTCCCAAGTTGTCATGCTTAGGAGCTTAAAGGAAAATGAAAAGTAAAATGTTTAAAGAAAGTGTGTGTGTGTGTTTAAAGGGAGAAGGAAAGACTTGCCAAGATCTAGTAAAGCTGAAAACCATGTGAATCAATATTCTACATGAAACCATGATTCCACTTCCCCATCCAAACACTAGAAAGCCTCTAACTGCTCCGTTAGGATGAACTGAATAAAATAATAAAATGAAATGGTCACATTTATCCATTTTGCATAATTTTCTTTCTTAATAAAGATTACTTAATCTTATTTCATAGTCAGTTTGAGGTGAAAAATATACTTTGTATTGACTTTAATTAGCTTATTGATTTAAAAGCAGTTGCTATTTAGGTTTTCAAACACCTAAAGATAAGACAGTAAATTCTTCAAACCCTCAATTCATAGTTTCTAATTCAATAGTTGTAACCATTTTAGGCTAGCATAAGAATATTTAAAATCCCATCCTGACCAACATGGTGAAACCCAGTCTCTACTAAAAATACAAAAATTAGCTGGGCGTGGTAGTGCCTGCCTGTAATCCCAGCTACTCGGGAGGCTGAGGCAGGTGAACAGCTTGAACCAGGGAGTTGGAGGTTGCAGTGAGCTGAGATCACACCACTGCACTGTAGCCTGTGGACAAAGTGAGACTCCAAATCAAAAAAAAAAAAAAGAATATTTAATGTCTTTTATTATCATACTTAGTTGGGCTTTATATTCATTTCCCTCTCTTACATTGTTTTGTTCTCATTTTAGTGTTTGAGAGAGGATGTTCCTGTAGCTGGAATTAAGAACAGGATGTACACACCTCCCACGCCCTCAAATGAAGAATCTATCCAGAAGCTCTGTTCAGTTAAACCTTGAAGCTATTAGTTCATGAGCAATAGGGATATGAAATGGGAAGTACAACTTCAGGACCCAATCAGCAACCCTCTGAAGGGTTAAAACCAACCTCTTAAAGGCTAGCTGTCTAGACCTTCCATTCTAATTACAAAGATTGTTAGAATTATGAACACATGTTAAAAAGCCTAGGATCTTTTGTTTGCGAACTTTCAACAACAATGTAGAATTTGAGGATGCATCTGATGTCTACGGATAGACTTCCCCAGAAAATAGAATGCCATTTGAGATTGCCGAACTCTGTAATGTGTGATTGTATACTCCCGTGTGTGTGTGTGTGTGTGTGTGTGTATGTGTGTTCATATGTATACTTCTTATATGTTTCCTTGATGAGGATGTTTAGCTAAAGGGGATTATTTTTCTTGATATTTTCAGTTAAGTCAGGGGAAAAGCTGTATGGGTAAAGATATGCATACCCCTTATCAGTACAGTGTGTAAAGGTGAGATAAATGCTTACAAAACATAGGGTACTTAAGACACTCAAGGAGAGAATCAAAAAAAGTGTGAAAAATACCAGTTGGGTGAATAGATATTTCTCTCTTTTAGTCACTCTTATATCCAGCAACACATCCAAAATTTAAAACTATGTGAATAAGATAAGAGCAACAATAATAATAAAATGAAAGCATATTTCACAAAAGTATTATCGACTATGTAGATTAATGAGCTTTTAATATCTAATTGTATTTAAGTAGGAATTAAGCAGGGAGTAGAACACCTCTGCACTATTTTCTTATGGAATCTCTAAATATCATCTGCATGAGCTTTATAGAGACTTATTGTTACAACGAAAGACAAATAGCTCATTGCCAGAGACCACTTTGAAAGGTATCCAACACCCATGAGTAACATGATTAACTGATTTTAAATATGCACTGCTGTGACCACAGGGAACTTTATGGACTTGGGTGAAATAAAACCTAGAAGGTTGGCCTTGTATTCTCCTGTGTTACTGGAACCCCATGCTGTGAAATAATTTACTTCAGTTATCTGACACTATTAGCATCACCCCCTGTTGGTCAGCTAATTAGACATAAAGCTACTAAACAAAAATGAATTTGTATGTACTTGCTATGGCTTAAATCAAGTTTTTCATATTTAAATTATCATTAAAGTTTATCTTATATATGGGCATGGAAGAAGAACATATAAAGAAAAACAACAGTCCACGTGAATAATTTGATTGGATGAAACAAAGGAGGACAAATATCTGAAACTGCAAGCTCATTTTTACCCTACTTAATTTTAGAAATCACAGTGTCCTCTGAGACTCCTTTTATAGTATACACTTGAATACGTAACAAAACTGACACATACAGCCAACTGTGTTGACTTGTACCACTGCCAAGTAGGACACACCTGGATCTAGAGCCAATCCTTTGGCCAACTATACCATTCAAAATACAAATATTTATGCCATTGATATGCTTCATATTTTCTCTTTACCCCACTGAATTTCATTTCATGAGACTATGCCCAAAGGCACAGCTCAATTTCTTTCCCCTCCTTCATGATTGGAAATCGAATCTGTAGAGAAAGAGACCTGGTTGCCCGCTACATATATGATCATAGGATCCCTTAAAAGATTAACAAACAGGGGCTGGGCACAGTGGCTCACTCCTGTAATCCTCGCACTTTTGGAGGCCGAGGTGGGCAATCACCTGAAGCTAGGAATTCGATTCTAGCCTGGCCAACACAGTGAAACCTCATCTTTACTAAAAATACAAAAACTAGCCTGGTGTGGTGGCAGGCACCTGTCATCCCAGCTACTTGGGAGGCTGAGGTAGAAGATTTACTTGAACCCAGGAGGTGGCA